AGACCACAGTTGTTGAGCAAAAAAAAAAGGGGGGGGGGAACCCCAAAAGTTTTTAAGCTAAAAAAATAAAATAAAATAAAAAAAAGCATGGTCCCTTTAAGAAATGCTTTTGAGGCTTTTTGCCCCTAACAGGCTGCTGGCGGCCATTTGCAATCTTGTCTCCCTGCTCCGGGCCGGACAGCTCCCCTGCGGAACCAGGTAAGCACCAGGAATTTTCGGCTGCTGGCCGGGAAAAAATCAGAAAACACCGGACATTTTAGGTGCCCGGTATTTTCTGAACTTTTTGACCAGACAGAAGGTGAAAATACTGGACTGTCCAGGTCAATACCGGACACCTGGCAACCCTAGCGGCAAACCACGCGGAAAACATCTCTTGACAAATGTGCAGCGTGAGGGGGTGGCACAGGCCCTGTGTGCGGCAGGGGTTGTCCCGACGCGTTCGGTCTCACGCCAGGCAGAGCCAGCCCGACGCCTTTGGTTAGAGGAGACTCCGGGCCCTGCCCGCTTTGCCTGGGTGCAGCCCCATGAGGGCTGGTGCCTCCGTCTGGTTTCTGCAAGTCCTCGTCCAGCGGGGCATGCCAGGCTGGGAGCAGGGGGAGGTGGGTTGTGGGCACAGATAAGGGTGAGTGCCAGGCACGGCCGTGCAGTATCTCAACCCCGGGGGCAGGAGAGTAGGGCCAGGATGGGGGTGTCTGAGCTGACCTGGGCTCGGCAGCTTTTCTCACCTTGCTAAGCAGACACTGGCCAGACTCCCCCGTCTCGGCCTTGCTTGTGGGACTTGGCCAGAGTACCCTGGTGAGACGTTCTTGCCGGGAAGGCCCTAGGCTGGGTATCAAACAGAATCACAGACGTAGCACTGGAAGGGACCTCGATAGGTCATCTAGTCCTGTCCCCTGCCCTTCAGGTAGGACATCTGGGTTCAGATCTCTGCTCTGACTCCCTCTGCCAGTCACCCCCCCCCGCCCTTGGGGCCTGGAACCAGGGGATAATCCCCAGCTGGGGGCATGCTGGTAGCACAAATAGCACAAGGCAGGGCCCTTGCTCAGCCGTGCGCGTGGCCCTACCCACCCCTTTTCACCTTGTGCCCATGTGCCCTGCACACATGCTGGGAAGCCCTTCCCCCCCGTAGCAGCCTCCAGATGTGCTGAGCGAGCCGTCTGGCACCGTGCTATGTGATTCCACAGGGCGATGGCTGGGAAGCCGTCTCAAACCATCCCAGTGCGTCTTCCGATGCTCCTCGGGCTTTATGAATAGACATCTAATTAGAGTGATCACCCTGCAGGTCGTCCCAGATGCTCGCCCAATGCTTCTCACCTGTGACCTCCCCGGGCCCCACGCGTCCGACCTGCAAAGAAGCCCACTTAGCATTCGCCCGACAGCTGTAATTAGTGGGGAATCAAAGATCTTCTATGCCACAGTTAACACACACAAGAGTTTTCAGGGGGGTAATGAGGCGGAGATGCCGGAGAATTTTCTGCTTCTCTGGCTCCCTCCTTACTGCCGTCTTAACCCCGTTACCACTTGCTGGGTTCTGCTTCGTCTGAGCTCACCTCTGCTATTCCCCCACCTTCCACAGTGGAGATAACACCAGCCCCAGAGCCAGCTTTAGTGGGGGCCCATGGAACCCCAGAACTGGGGCTGGGCCCTGTCTGTTCCGATCGCCTTTAAGAATGAGTAACTCTCTGCCAGTGGCATAGTGTGGGGGGGCAGTTGCCCCCGGGCGCCACACTAGGGGGGCATCAATTTAGTCCCCCTCTACTCCCCCGTCATCCCTCTTCCTCCACCCACTGCCACCGGCAGGAGCCTCGGACTCTCCTCCATCTCTGCTGGCAGGTTACTGCGTGTGGGGCCCAGCCCCAAACCAGAGGGGGTGGGGGAAGACGCGGTACAATCTCCCCCCACTCCTCTTAGGGTTGGGCTCAGCCGTGTACCAGGTTCGGGGCCCCACCATTCGGTGGTGGAGGGGGACGGGCACAAAGTTTGCCTTTGCCCCCGGGCACATCACACCCTCGCTACGCCTCTGCTCTCTGCCCCTTCTCACAGTCCTGGTGCCAGCCCCGGCCCCAGCTCACAAAGAGAGCGCTGGCTTTGTATGCCGGGAGTGAGACAGAAGCAGCCTCATGTCCCCAGCAGCAGCGCCCCAAGCGTGTGGGGATGAGCAGACACATCGGATAGGACAACGGCCTCAGGCACTCAAAGGAAATTGCAAATGTTGCCGCCTTGTGAAGCGGCCTCACTCCAGTTGCTTGCTCCACAGGTGACTCTCCCCGCCCCGCTTCCTTCACCTGAGGCTCCGCCCTCTTCAAGGGTCAAGCCCCGCCTCCAGGGCAGGGCTCCAGCTCCCCCACAAGCCATCCCCCACTGCAAGGGCAGGTCCCCAACCCTCTCTCCACCCCCAGCCCCGGAGTGCGGGACAATGGCTGAGGCCCATAGGTAGCCCGGGAGCCACGCTGAAACGGGTTGGAGTGTGGGCAGGGCCACGCGTGGCACTTAGGGAAGGCAATGCCTTCCCCTGCCTCTTCGACCCGCTGCCCATGTCCACAGCCTCCCTTTCCCAAAGCCTCCCCCTAAAACCCAGCCCCGGCAACGTGGCCGCTTCACAAGACAGACTCCTGATCTCCTACCCATCTAGTCCCTGGAGAGCCACATGTTGACGCCTCATCCGGGGCAGGGAGGCGCTATTGACTCTGGGGGAGGTAGCAGCTGCCTCCCACTCTCCATTTCCCCTCTCTTCTGCGTGAGGACCCTATCCCCGCTCTTGCAGGAAAAGAGCTCTCGGGCACTGGAGGCGGTGAGCAGACAGCCGGCTAGGAGACCCAGCAGGAGAGATGGGGCGGGCAGCGTGGAGGGACGTTCTGTGTCTCGATAGGACTGTCGTCTGGGGGGTGGGACCGTGGCACCCAGTGACCAAGAATCTCCTATTGAGCTACCAGGCCGCGATTTGCAAAAGCAGCGAGTGGTTTGGGGCCCCGCGATGATCCACTTCCGAGGCCTTCAGCGGGCACCATTTTCAGAAACGCTGGGCATCCTCCTCGGAAATCCGACCCCCTCCAACATGACTCCGGTTGGGACCCACCAGAGATCACAAGTCACTTTGGGAAACATGGGCCTATGTGTTTCCTCTGGGAGTAAGCAGATGGCTAGTAGAGGAGGGGGCAGGAAGCAGACAGAGACCCGGCGTGCCTAGAGCCAGGGTATC